CCTGCACGCACAACACAAACCCACACCCATGGACGGTGGTGTGAGGCCATGAAGTGTCCGCCTCACCGGCACCGCTCCTGGCAAGCCAAGCTCCAGCCTTTCCACTGCCCCGTCCCAACTTCATGGTTGCAGACGTCGTCCACGCACCGCAAGCACAGCGAGCCCTGTGGGCATTCTGGCATCGAACACCTAGCGCACATGGAGGCCCTGTCCTTGCCCTTCCTGTCCCTGGACCAAGAGGCTGGCCTTGGCCTAGATCGGCTGCGCAGATGGAGCCTGCGACCATGCCCAATCCGCCCTTCAGGCCTTTCCTTTCAGGCCCGAGTCCCATCCGATGGTGAACAAGCTCACGCAGCCCCTTTCAGCAGCCCTTGCCCGGCCTTTGGGCCCTATTAGATCCACCGCCTGCCTAGCCCATCAGAACACTCGAGGCCCAGCCAAATCCCCAGGCGTTCCCCTTTTATCTGTTTTCAGAGAACCTGTCCAACCTCCAAAAGAATTCATCTTAGCTCCTAAAAATTATGAAACCAGTTCCATAATTTTTCTAAAAATCAAGCCCTACATCATGGACCCATCCTTGAGTATTTCTGACCCCTCCAAATGGTAAGCCATCACAATGCTTGCGCTCACTCGCGTTCGCGCAGCTCATAGACTAACTTTGGATTGCCACCGTGGGACCCTAGCACCTAACGGCCGTGATATATGCCTAATCCAAAGACTCGATGCTCGTAGCCAACCCTTGGCCACCTGTAGCCATGACCGGCCAACCACGGCCCACCGTAGCTCCACGAGACTGGATAACTAAAGCCATACCAAGCCATAGTGGGCCATTGTTGGCCAGATGCAAACCATGACCCTTTGGGGCAAGCCACGTTACCCTCTGAACCTTCGGGTGACCAAATCATAGTCGATGTTTTATTGAGACCTTGGAAAGCCCCATCTCTCATCTTTCCATTTATGCATATCTACCTTGTTGGGCCCAAATCTTACGACCTATCTGTCCATGACTGTCTTACAGGATCTACCCATTCCCCAGCTATGGAATGTGCTACTCCGCAGTCGTGTCGAGTTGTTGCATCTTTCGGTCGTGTTTGGTTCTTATCGCTGGTTGTTGGTGTTACTGCCTGTGTGCCGAGCCTTCGAGCTGGCTGAGGGATCGTACCTCGTTCGGACGTTACGATCGCGGGATCCGTCTCGCCATAACCGTGATGCCGAGTGTAACTCAACCCCTCGCTTTTTAGCTGACTTCATAGTACCACGAGTGTTAGCTCCTGCCTTCAGCCCTAGAACATGGTCGTGATGGATTCGATGTCGATACTAACACCGATGCGGATATCACCCGCATGCCTTGAGCCCTCCATGACCAAGTCCTGTGGGAGATGACCTGGAGATAACAATCGTGGAACGATGGGTGCCAACTCGTTGGTGTAGCTTGTGGCCGCGAGTTCGCCTCGCCATGACCATGGAGCTACGCCTCTCTTTCGCTTTTGTTTGCTTCTTCGTGCTCAAGCCCTTGTATGCTTGTACCCCGTTTGACCATCACATTTCTCTGATTCTCGCGGTGACAACCGCACCGCTTCGAATCCGAGAGATATCTCAGTGCCAGTGCACCCAGGTCGGGTACCCTACGAGTGGCTTACACACTTGGTGTACTTAAGTGTCGCTCCTTCCGATGCCCCGTCTTTGTCGTGGCGTGTGCGTTAGAAGAAGTGGACCTTGCTCTTGGTTGTTCTTGCTCTTATTGCCACGATAGCCCGCTTCTGTTCGATCCCGGTCTTGCCCGTGACGATTGGATCAAAGACCGGACTATTCCTTTTGTTAGCAAAGCTATGGTCTAAGTCGTACCTCGGACCCGTGCGTGTCGACCCGATCGACCGTCTAAAACCATCTTTCCGAAGATGTGCGAGAACATGACATGGATGTGCCTAGCTAACCCCACATCTTTTTGCCGTGTTGGCGACTCTCTTCTCGGCTTCCACGTTATTGTGTCGTGTGGATCGAGGGAAACGTTGATGTCCAATCTCTTTGCGCCACCGCTTTCTACCATAGCCCAGTGAAATGCACGTTGGAGCCAAGTTATAATAGTGTTAAACATTCTCGTTTGCTACTCGTGTCCAATTGTGACTCGCGGGATAAGGCTATTAAGAGCTGAACCCCATCGTTCCTCTTCTTGGGGCCCGACTTCCAATCCCCGTTGATTCAATGACACCGGATCGGAAGATCGTGAGCCGTGGTGTGCTATGGATAAGCTTTGGCTTAAACCATCTATCCTAAAGCCATACCGGCTTGGCCATGACTTAAGCTTGTGCTTAGCAAACTACCATCTGTGATTCTTGGCCCGAGGAAATCGGACAACCGCCGAGAGGGCTAAGCCGTGTATCTCTTATTGTCTCAATGGCGTTATTGGATTTTCCTACGTCTTGTTGTCCTTTCAAGTGTTGAGTGTTCTCTTGCCTTGCGTGTCACTTCACGGAGTGGCTGACGATCGGACCAAGAGAGCGAGGGCGACGACAAGGATGCTGGAATGGAGTCAACATAGGAGGAGCTAATGGAACACCTGCGAATGGAGAATTGAACCACTACTACCTCTACATCGCAGTGTCATGGCAGCACCCTCTTTTAGAAAATCCTATTAGACATTGCATAAAATCTAGAAGCGCTAGCGCTTTATAAATTATTCCTTTGCTAGTACTTTGATGCATACTACTACGAGTTAGTATTACCACGATGCAACCCACTCTACCACGTCACCACCTTTGCGCGATTCGCCGCTTATATATGCTTACTTGCACGCTTGCTTGCATATTACACCACTATACTTATTATTAACTCCATCGCATTATATCGGGATGTGATCTTTGGTGGTGAACCCCCGGGAATGGTTTGGCTATGGGTGCCGGGTGGTGGTGTGTGGTCTTTGGTGTGTCTTGGGTGCGTAGTGAGGTTGTGTGTCGACCGAAGCTAGAATAACGACGAGCACTGGGGCGAGTCTTGCCATGTGGTGCTACTGGGCACTTGGATATGGAATAAGGTTTGGAGGTGGCCTTGGGTGTGAACCTCGGAGAGGTGGAGCAGGGGTAGAGCTTGTGGTGGCACGTAAAATCGATGAAGACATTTTGGCTTGGTCACCCTAAGGACTTACTAGTACTCAGATTCAAGGAATCCTTTATATCCCACTCTCCAAAATGGGGACGGTCGGACTACTTGGTAGAGCGATGCCACTACTTTGGCGAATGTGTGCAAGGAGGGCAGGGTGCGCGGTTCCCCCACACCCTTCCGAGACTTCAGGAGGCCTTATGGACGGCTCTTGACATCCGGTGGGCCCCAACTCTGTCTCACGACTCACGATGATCAGCCAAATTAGACTTGGGATGTTTTCTGAGAGGTAGGGTGGCATCGTTCTCTAGGCTAGCTCTTCAAACGGCACTCGAGGATGGCTATCTTGTGGGTATGTGAAACCTCTGCAGAGTGTATGGTTGATCGATCGATACATATTTTTTCGGCTATGGACCTTTCCCGAGTTTCACTTAAACTAGATAGGAATGAGTCCTTCTATTCTCCCCTTTGGTTTGGGGTATTTTCCGATCGTGAGCCTTGCCTGGGCTCGGGCCGTTGAGACAAGGCCGAGAGGGAGTTGTCGTGAGTGTGTGAGATGAGATAAGGTGTGTGGTGTGGAGATGGTTTGGGATGGATGGTTGGAGGATGGATATGGATGGATGGATGTGTGTGGCTAGAAATGTGTTAAAAATGGACATTATTATTACATTACTATCATTATTTACTTCTCATGCGCTAAGGATGCAAAACACGGCCAAATATTATATCCTCTTGTTTTATCTTTTCCACTAAAGCTCATCGGTTTGACCATCTCGCAAATAATTAGAGTGTAGATTTTCGCTTTCGAGATCGACTATAGAAGGATTAGGAGGTCTCGTGCCTCACATCAAGTTTGGTTGGAGATGGAACACCACTACGCCAACTCGATATATGAAGGGAAAGCCTTCACCGATAGTCTTTAGATTAATCTGTAATAGGTGTGTTCTATGATGTAATATCTTGTATTCTTATAACCGATGTATCTGTGATATCGACTGATATATGATAATACGATGGAATCAACTATCGATTTCATCATATTATAATTCATTCTGTGGATTTTCCCTTCGCGGAAAATTGAGGATGTTTCATATGCGGTCTGAGCTCACGACCCATGTTCATCCGAGTTCGATGACTTTTTATGTCTTGTATTTAGTATAGAATTAGAGCATCTCTAAGAGACTCTCTATATTCTTTCTAAGTGCTAGGAATAGAGATTTTGGTGAAAAACTATCCTCCAACAGCTTCTCTAAATGGTCATCTAAATATAGCCATTTTCTATTACAAATTTTTCACTAGCCAAATATAGAAGGCGAGAATGGCTCTCTAGAGTGTGCATGAGATATAGAAAAACCGTTGGAGCGTCAAAAGATATAGAAAATAATTTTTATGCAAATAACTCTCCAAATGATGATTTAGAGTGTGAGATTTAGAAATGCTCTTGGAGATGCTCTTAGCCCTCATGCTCATATGAGTTATAACGACTCACGTTCAGTGATAGTTTAAATTCTAATTATAATACATATTAGACTCGTTGCAATACACGGATAAATTTGCTAGTTGACTAAAAAAGAAAAAAAGAAACAGAGGAAATACAGTTGTATACTCCGTATGTACAAACACAATAGCGTATGGAGGCGGAGGAACGGCTGTCCTAAACGGGGGCTACATTTGTGACTCAGCACAGCAGCGTCGGTCAGCCTGGGTTCCGCCAAACCCACCACCCCACTGTTCAGGTTCGGGTCCGTCTCCACTCGCGCGTCCGCTCCGCCTCCACTGATGCACTCCCCACTCCCCCGACTCCTCCTTTAACCCCCAGCACCGCGCCGCCGCGCCGGCGACCCACCTCTCCACCGGTCCAACTCCAAAGTCCAAACTCCACTGCCCCCTCGCGCGGCTGCTCAATGGCGGGAGGCGGGGCGTCGTCGGCGTGGGGCCCGGGCCCGGCGCTGGTGACCGCGCTGGTGGCGCTGCTCGGGCTCGGCCTCGCCGCCTACATCGTCGGCCCGCAACTCTACTGGCACGCCGCGGAGGCGCTCACGGCGGCTGCCGCGTGCCCCGCCTGCGACTGCAACTGCGACGCGCGCCTGCTCCTCGACCTCCCGGAAGGTGCGCCTCCGCCCCCATGCTGCCTCCTCAGATCTTGGCGCTGCCCCTCTTTTAGATCCGACGCGATTGGATTGTCCTTCTCCTTCCCTTTGCTTTTGTGCTGCTGTCCTTGTCTGCACTGCGTGCGAGCAGTGCTTACGCAGCAGAGAGTTTACTATCGGATTTTGCTCCCCAAGACATTCGGTCAGTGGATGATACTTCGGTTTGGAGGTCTGCACTATACTAATGGTGCCTTTTTTTTTGTCTCACAAGCGAAGATTAGCTTGCTTGCTCAAATTTCCAACCCATTTCTTTCACCCAACATTCAAGACAGAACTAAGTTGTGGAGAAACAACATCTTTTTTTAGTGGAACTCAGTTTGTAGGGGCAATTAGACAAACAAGATGGATGGAGCTGAACAGATAACATCATGTACGGCCATTACTGATGTGTCCCATGCTGTATTGTTAATAATTACTGTTAGATACGTATATCATGAGTTCATCACTAAAATTAGAATCTACCTGTTGTGGGTTTCATTGTCTGTGCTGTTGTAACTTGTAAATGGATCCAGTCACCCAAGTGTCAAACTGTCCTACATATCCTACAACTTGAATAAGAGGCTCGGGCGTCCTCCAAAAATATTGTCTTAATCATTACCCTGATGTCCTATATCAAGGATGTCTAGATGAACATAAAAAAATCTTTTACTGTATTTTTCGTTGCCTCCTCAGTTTAGTATTTACTCATGTTATATGCCACTGTCTTGCAGAATAGTTTCAACTAGCAAGTGAGGTGTCCTTTTTTCCATTTTGTTTCTATGTGCATTTTGATGTTACGTGCAACATATCAAAGCAATGCTGAGAGCTAGACATAACAACAATACCATATCTCAAAGTAGATCTTTATCATTATGCCATGATATATTTGAATTATCTTCTCAAGAAATGTAGGGGCCTGACTATATCTTTGATTGAGACAAACATGACACAGTGGAGTTATTTTGAACATTTTGTGTCCTTAACCATATTATTCAACTTCTGATTACTGTGCTTTAACTGAAACTAGTGGTCTGGCGCCTTCTCCATGTTTTCAGATTGTGCTAAACACTTCAAAGGGGTCAAGAGTCGCGCATCTGGTGAAGAGACAGAAAAAAGTTTCACAGAACTGCTTGTAGAAGAATTAAAGCAGAGAGAAGAGGAGGCAACACAAGCCCAGCAAGAGGCTGATGTTAAGTTGCTCGAGGCCAAAAAGTTAGCTTCGCAGTATCAGAAGGAGGCTGACAAATGCAGCTCAGGCATGGATACCTGTGAAGAAGCTAGAGAGAAGTCAGCTGTAGCATTGGCCCAACAGAAGAAACTGACTTCTTTGTGGGAGCAAAGGGCTCGGGAACTAGGATGGAAACCCGAGAATGCCAAGGCACACCTATAGTAAATCAAAGACCCTTGTGGATGGGGTTGGATACTATGTGTACCATAGATCACATTGCAAATACAACCCACTAAGAGCTCGAAATGATGAGGAAACAAATGGGTTTCTGGTTGAGCGGACTCTAGTACGACTCTCTTTACACGCCAAGGGCCTCCTTGTCCATAGTAATTTTGTATTCAGTCTGTAGTATACTTCCATTGCTGTTTGTGAACACTGCTGTGTGTTGGGATGGTCATAGGATGCCACTGTTCATTAGATGTTCTAAAAGGAGAAAAACATATTGTCTGGGGTGGTGGCAATAAAGAAGAAATTGTCTGATGTTCTTAAGTTTTTTCATCTTGCTGGCGTTAGCCCTTCTGTAGATAATTGCCGTTTCTGTTCACATGGTTTCACCGTCCTCCTATTGATAATGCGGTTGGGGTTTTGTTGTGATTTGAAACTCTGGCATTTGTGCGGTTGGGGTTTTGTTGTGATTTGAAACTCTGCCATTTGTGCGGTTGGGGTTTTGTTGTGATTTGAAACTCTGCCATTTGTGAGGACTGAGTGTGATTGTGATGTGGTCTGATACTTTGATATCAGGGCCCATTATGCTAGCCTGTGCAATGCAAATACTGAGGGGCTCCAAAAATTCATGTTGATTGTAGCACCATGTTGTCAAATTATGGACTAATTAGGCTTAAAAGATTCGTCTCGTAAATTAGTCGTAAGTTGTGCAATTAGTTTTGTAATTAGTCTATATTTAATACTCTATACATGTGTCTAAACATTCGATGTGACAGGAATTTTAAGAGTCACTGCAGTAACCAAACATTATTTTTCTCTCATACCAAACAAGCCAGTAGTAAATAATTCATAATTATTTACGAACCGCCGAACAAGCTGATAATTCTCGCTGTCTCGTCCATATTGGATTTGACCTGAGCATCTTCAAGTCTCTGCTCACTCTTTAAGAGAGCTATTTGAATAAAAAAAATGTTATCTGTGTCTTTTCGTCATTCAACAGTATCTCTAATCTCTATATCTGTTACGTAATCTAGGGAGACAACTCCGCTCTTTGGCTCTGTTCACTTGTCTTATAATTCGTATTTTCGGCTTCTCTTTTCAGACGGAACAGTGTTTTTTTCTCACCACAAATCAGCAGGAATAGTGTTTCAGCTTGTTTTATCAGCGAAACGAACGGAGCATTTATCTTTAGCTAGCGAGAAATCCAGAATAGTGGACGGCTATATTTGGATATCTAATTAGAGAAAATTATTAAAGGGTATTTTTATCATCAAAATATATATTCCTATTTCATACAAAAAAGGATATTAAGAGACTCTTAGCTAGAAAAATTATGTGAATCAATGCAACCGAACAGTTTCCTGCGAAATTCCATCCCGAGCAGAAGATATCTTGCCAAAAATGAAGATTTGAAGAAGAATATAAGATCAGCAAATCCACCAGCATTAACACACTGCTACATTACTCCCTTTCCAGCAGCACCAATTTATGGCCTCCTAAATTTTTCCCCTTCCAATGGGTGGAAATGAAAGTCAAAATAGTTAATAGACCCCAGCGGCCCCACCCAGACGTCCAGGTCCCAGCCTTCCCACTGAATTAATAAAATTGATTATGAAAATTTCCATTTTTCTTAAAAAAGTCACCCATGCGGCGCAGGCAGAGAGCGGGACATAGGGCCCGGTGTACTCGGGTCGGGCCGTCCTCCCACCCCCGCTCCGTTGAGTCCGCCCTGCCTGACTGCCTTTTCTCTCCTTCCCTCGGCCTCCGCCTCCGCCGCCGTTTCTCCTCTCCATTTTAAATTTCAAACCCCTCCCACCTGCTTCCTCCTCCTCCTCCCTAAAACCTCCTCCTCCCTCCTGCTGCCACGAGGCGCGGCTCAGCTCCTCCTCCTCGAAGTCGAAGCCGGCGGAATCCAGGCCGCGTGGCGGCGGGGCGGCGGAAGAGGAGGAGGCGCGGGGGATGATGGGGTGCCTCTTCGGCTGCTTCCGCGCGTCAGGCGGCGATGGCGAGGCGAAGGGCGCCGGCGGCCAGCTCGCGCATCCGTCCCTGGCTCCCGCGACGACGACGACGACGAGCCACCAGGTTGGTCTGCTTGCGCCGTGCTCGCGGAATCTACCGCGCCTTCGTCGCTGTGGACGAGGTCCGGATTTGTGTGTCAGTGGGGTGGAATGTGAACCGCGGTTGGTTAACGCTGCCGGATTGTGTGGCTGTTCCTCAGGATGGCGCGGGCAGGAGGACCAGGCCGCCGTCGAGGAACGCGCTCTCCGCCGTGTTCCAGCGAGAAGGTGCCCGGTTTTTTTTTCAATCTGTTATCTGTCGTTCCGTACTGTCCTTTGCTCATCGTTGAGTTTGAATGGCGGCGATTGTTTCTGTTTATTATTTATTTGTTTATTTATTGGTGTTGCTGGCTTGTATTGTTTTGGTTCAGATGAGGGATCAAGGGAGACGCAGACGCCGAGCTCGTGGGCGGAGCAGAGTGGTGAGAGGAAGGGGATGGATCAGGAGCTTGAGCCCCAGGTACGGCCATTCTGAAAATCTGGATCGACGCTGATTTACCCCCTTTATCGTTTGTGATTGTCGTTCATTTCTCAATGCGCTTAGTTATCGATGCTGCTATCTCATGGTTTCAGTTCAGCTGAGTTTACTTGACTAAGACCAGCATGTGCAGTAGAGAATCCTTGGTTAACTATGGGTCCTGTTAACTTCCGTTTGTTGCTTCAATTCCTCGTTATATGTGACATGTTCCTTCAAAGTGTTTACACACATGGAATGCTTGTGGTGTTACACGGACTGCTAATTTATATTCTGCCATGCTGATGAAGAGACAATGCAGCAGCCAGTTGGTGTTATATACACAATGCGTTTCTGTTTTTTTCTAATCTGGCTGTTTCTCGAAGTCGTAGATAACCATGTCATTTTCTCATATATATTGTTATGTGCAGTCTAGTTAAGCAATAGTAGCAGCATAACAGTGAGTTCTGTTTGTTAGCTCATAGCATACACCACATGGTCTTGGGTGCTGCAGACTGATTTATCTCCATGATAACAGGCCAATATCCAAAAAAGGCTGTGGTGCATTGCTGCAAACTACAAATGACATCCAAAGAGCAGTCAAAGATGCAGATTCAGTTCATCAGAAGGAAACACATTCAGGATGTCTTCCTGTTATGTCTGATGATCTACATATCATGGAAGCGACGAAGGTTGAGAACTGTAAAACTCCTTCAAGGTCTCATCAGAGCTCCACTGTACCAGATGCAATGAGGTATGCAAACTCTGTTCCTTTTCCTACTACTAGTAGGATGGCTGAAGCATAAACTTACCATTCCTGCTTCTGAAGATGCTATGCTACTCTCTAACTCAGTTTCTCTATTGTAGTAAGTAGTACCTAAACTAGTTTAACATTTTGGGTGTCTGTGCATCATCATTGCAGTTCTTCAAAAACAAATGATGAGTTGCAGACTTCCGCTACTTCCCTTGCAAATAATGTGGAAGAGTCGACAAATGAGAACAATACTGAGGCTTGTGTGCAGGGTGAAAAACAACAACAAGCTCTGGATCTTGCTGAGAATTTTGAAGAATGTGGGGTTTCAAAAGAAGATTTCATTCACCCTGAAAAATTAGAGGATCCAAAGTGTGCAAAGAGTGACCATGTGGTCTCTATGGAAATTTCAATGTCTGATGAATGTTCTCTTTTCCAGAGCTCCGAGGGTTATGTATCATCTTCTAATAAGATAATTGAGAGCGTGAATACAACATCTATGGAGAAGTCCCCAAAAACTGAGGCAACTATTCATGCCACCAGAAAGAAGCTATTGAAGAGCAACACTTCAGAAGTGGAGCTGCCAAGCTTAGCCCAATGGTTGAAGCCTCCAAATCGTAAGAAAGCATTCAGAGATGAGGTTGTGACAGGAGATGGATCTCATTCAGCTAAGAGTTCAGATGATGATAGGCCTATTATTGGAATGGTTGCAGCACACTGGAAAGATAAAGATCCAGAAAATTTTACCTCTAAATGGTGGGATGGAAATGGCATTCCCAATTCAACAAACAAGTATAAAGAAGTAAAGTCTGCCTCTATTTTTCTTGCTTTCTATTTACATTCAAGCAAATTGGACGTACCTAAAATAATTTATCATATGGGCAGGATCAGAAGGTGAGTTGGCATGTAACATCATTTGAGGAGAGGCTTGAGACGGCTTTATCTGAAGAGAAGTTGCTCTCTGAAAGGTCTGTAGGTTTTTTTTTGAACAACAACAACAACAACAAAGCCTTTTTTTGAACTTTACATTATATTTTATTATCATCAAGTTATGTATAGCTCTAATGTCATAACTTTTTTTGCCCACTGCTGTAGCAGGAACTGTTCAAGTGGAAAGACATCTCAGTTTTTGGGAGTGGAAGGCGAGGAGACTGATACGGCTGAATCTAATCGTCTATATGCTACTGCTTATGCATGACAATTTTTCTTGCCATGAGTCACAGAAGCTTTCAGTATAATGGTTTTCTGCTATCACCCTCCTGATTGATGGCATTTGCACAGCCCTATTTCCCTCTGTCCTTTAGTAGGTAGCATCCGGATGTGATGTTTCAGTTTGTGCGTAATTCAATTGTTTAAGATATAATAACATTAATATTGTTGCTGCTGCAGTTCACAAATATTGTTGGTAGTTTCTATTGTTCAGTTTTTCATTCTACAATTCTAGTCGTCCCCCACAGCACCTTAGCCCACATACTGGAAATGAGCACATATTTCCAGTTTACCTTGACAAGTTGCAAACAAATTCTTGTGAACTCCGTCTGGCGGAAAATATTGTTTCTTGATTGTCACCTTTACACTTGAAAATATACCTTTTTGCCCTAGTCTTGGGATTGATTATGTAGTTCTGGTCTAACACCTCTACCTTGGTCATTTTATTATCTTTGTATTCTGAACACTAAACCAAAAATATCTGGCTTCTTTGGTCAGAGAGGCCGTAAAATCAGGCTGTATGATTTACTAAAATGAAATCAGGTTGTATGTCTTCTCGATTATCGAAACACATTGATAAGAACACATTAATACTATAGTCTCTCCTGATGGTTATTTACCATGGGCAAAATGCTTCATTTGGCTCAATGTCTCCTGCATGCGTTATTGCTGATACTGTCTGTTGAATTCAAAGACGGTTGGTTTGTCGCCTAGGATACCACTTCAGCCTCCAGGACACCCATTCATGCTAGCACTACGCTAGATTCTTACAGCAGAACATAGGCATTTTTCTTTGTAGGGGTGGTTGGGGTTGGAGCGCGCCCTCTGGTGGGGCCCTCGGCTCGGAAAGCAGCCAAACCGCCCTCTAGAGATAGACTTGTAGAGGGCGGCGGTGTAACCTGAGCTTCTGGTTGGGGCTGATCCAGAGGCGGCTCAATCACCAGCCGCCCCTGCAGTGCCCACTTGTCTTTTTTCAAATTTCAAAATTTGAAAGGTTCAAATTTAGTCAAATAACAAGATAACCAAAATAAAAGTTGTAGATCTTGATGAGTTGAACAACTTTTGTATTCATCACTTTTACATATGAAATCATTTAAGGTTTGAAAATTTGGTTTAAACTTGTCAAATTTTAAATTTTAAAATGTGTAAAACATTGTTACATCCAAGTTTGATCAAATTTAAATGCTGAAGCATGATTTTATAATTTTTTAGAAAAAAAAATCATCACATTTGGAGTTAGTATGAAGGAGACCAACTAGTTACAAAGTTTAACCACAGATTAAAAAGAGAAATCACACTGTTCTAGATGATCCTTACGTGATCATAGTGAACAGTGTGATCTCTTTTTTTAATCCGTGGGTCAACTTTGTAACTAGTTTTTTCTTCCTCATACTAACTCCAAATCTGATGATTTTTTTCCTAAAATTTTCTAAAATCATTCTCTATCAATTTATTTTGTTGGTTTTTGTCAATATATACATATGAAAAGTTTGAGCAATTTAAATTTTGAATTTAAAAAAAATGCAACTTCAGACAAGATTTTGGTTCCCCAAATGATTTCAGCTGAAAAAGTGATAAATACCAAAGTTGAATAACTCATCAAGATCTACAACTTTTGTATTGGTCATTTCTTCATATGACAAAGTGGTAACGACATTGTTCACAAATATGACACATCTATCGTAAGGTTTTATAAACTATATGAGACATGTGTAAGATTAGTGAACAATGTGAGCTAAGAATTTGTTAAATGAAGAAATGACCAAAATAAAAGTTGTAGATATTCATGAGTTGAACAACTTTGGTATTCATCGCTTTTATGTTGAAATTAATTTGAGTCTCAAATTTTGGTTCGAACTTGTCGTTTTTCAAAATTTCCAATTTGAAATGTTCAAATTTTGTCAAATGACAAGATGATTAAAATAAAAGTTGTAGATATTAATGAGTTTAACAACTTTGATATTCATCACTTTTTATGTTGAAATCATTTTGGGTCTTAAATTTTGGTTCGAACTTGTCATTTTTTAAAATTTAAAATTTGAAAGGTTCAAATTTTGTCAAATGATAAGATGACCAAAATAAAAGTTGTAGATCTTCATGACCTCTACAATTTTGATGTTTATCAAATTTTTATTTGAGATCATTTGGTATCTCAAAATTATTTTAGTAGTTTTGATTTTAATTTTTTAAAATTTAAATTTTTTTTCCTAAATTATTTCGACCGTTCGATCTCCACAACCGACGACACATATCTCTTGGATCAGATTCTATCGGAAGCTGATTCTCCTGCTTTGCCTTACCTTATCCGGCTTCTGCTCAGCTTCTTTCTTGCTTCTCCCGCTTCTCGTCGGAATCCACCCAAACAAATATATACTCAGCTTCGTCTTCTCCTTCACGAAGCTTCTCTTCCCCTCCTCTCTCTCGTGTTCGCTCTCTCTCGCTCTCCATCTCCGATGCGGGCAGGGGGCCACGGCGGGTGCGAGCGTCCGCGCCGGCAGCCACCATCCTCCTCCTCCGTAGCCCTCCCTCGCCTGCCTCTCATCTCCGCTCTCTCCTTCCTCTCTCTCTCTCCTTCCCTCCAATCCAAGCGCTCACGCGAGGCGGCCCCCTCCCTCTCCTACATCATGCGCGCGTAGCTCGTCAACGCTAGGTTCATCCACCGCTGTTCCACCGCCTCCTCCACCGTCTCCCTGACCCCAACCGCCGCCCCCGCCCCATCCACCGCCGTTCCCCAGGCCGCGACGGCGGCTAGGGTTTGGGAGCGCTCGCCCGCGGCCGGCTGCCCCATCTCGGACCTCGACCTCGACCTCCGTCCTTGCTGGGCCGGCTAGGGTTTGGGAGCGCTCCTCGGCGCGGCCCGTCCGTCTGCTCCCCCGACGCGCGGCTAGGGTTCGTCGTGTGGCTGCCCCGCCCCATCCTCTCCGACCTCGACGCCATCTCTCTAGGGTTACCGCTCCGTTTCGCGCCATTCACCGCGTATATATCCCCATCCCCGTCGTCTCCCTTCTCAGTTGCTCACCATTCGCTCAGCTCCGACAGCAGGTGCTCATCCCCTCTGTTTATTTTTTTCCTTTTTTCCAGTGTTTGTCATTGATTCAAGCCGGCCTAATCCCCTCCCTCTGTGGTTGTTTTCTAGGCGCTATGGATCTGAGTTCTTGACCAAGCAAGTGAATCTGGTTCTCCCCATCGCCCCTCCCTCTATTTTGTTCATCTTGTAACCCTAGGTTCTTGGGGAATAGGTCGATCCCTAATTATTTCGTCTCATACTTGATGTAGGCACAACAGATCTGTCATCCCTTGTTTGTTCATCTGCTTTTGATTGTGGTGCTATCACCACATCTGTTTGGTATAAGCAATCCTCCTCTTTTGAACCCTCCCCTCCTCCCTATTCTGATTATTGCAGTAGTACTTGATGGATGATGTCGGTGCTGTCTAGATCTGTGAATGAAATATATTTCTGAGCTCATGTCCAAGTCAATGATGTTGCTATTTTTGCTCTGAGCATTTGTCCAATGCCAATGATAATTTGTCCATGCTTTTCATGATTTCTTTCAGTAAATCTAAGCACTGTCCAATGCCAAAGATTTTTGTCTATGCCTTGGATGTTTGTTTTTAGTTAATCTGAGCACTTGTTCAATGTCAATGATGTCTTTCATATAGTACTAAAGATTGAACAGTAAGCATTGGTTGTTGTTTACCTTGTCCAGGAAATAAAACACACCCTTATTTTCATAGCTTTGTTGTGTTGTTGTGCTCATTGCACCTGTGTTGCTTTGGTAGATGGCTTTGGAGGACCAGCGACGACTGTTGATTGCTCAGGCCACTGCTCTTATCACTGCTATGTATGCACTCTTGTTTAGTAGGCTTAGAATGCAACATGATTCAAGGCCTCATATCACTTACGGTCCTTTGAGAATCATGGATGAGGAAAGGCAAACTGTTCCTGCATTCTTTTGTGCAGTTAACATGCTACCCTCTACTAAATATGGCTAACTATGGCTTGTAGTTAGTGACTATATGCCACTACACCTTTGCATTCTTCTTTGGGTCAACCTACCTGATGTTAGTGTGTGTATTTGTCTTGGCAGTTTGATCATGTGACCTAGCCATTCATTTGAACATCTTATTGTTAACTCTTCTAAGCATATTACCTGCATTCTTCTGAGGACATGTTTGTTGCCTGTGATGTATTTTTTATATAACTGAGCACATGTCTGTTATCTGTGATGTGTTTTTCATGTAACTGAGCACATGTCTGTTGCATGTGATGTGTTTTTCATAGAACTGAGCACATGCCTCTTTGCCAATGATGCTTACACATGCCTCCTGGTGGTATTTTTTGTTACTACACTTTACTTTTTGTTACTACACTTTACTTTTTCTACAGCTATGGCATGGTATGTTGTTCATCGTAGGAAGGAACCTGGTGTGTACTCTAGCTGGGACAAAGCACATGCTCAAGTCGATGGCTTCCAAGGGTAATTGCTAAAAAAAATCAACTCAAGAGAGGAAGCTTTTCAAGCATTCTATGGCCAAGGACAACATGTGAATCCACCTCACTCGAAACTCGCCGGACATGATCAGTTTCTCTCTGCAAGCATAATTCATTTGAAGTTAAAGATGTAATAATCGTAGTCCACTTTCATCCCTCTTATCTTCTTTTACTACCAATAATGATGGACTTTTGTGAATTATGACTTGTGATGATGTTCTAAATAATGGTCTTGTGTTTGTGGATGTATATATATATATATTTGTGGCGGTCAGGTTCGAATTTGAATTATATATATATATATGGTCGATTTGAATTTGAATTATTATTTTTTTCTGAGAAAATCCCTTTGTAGGGGAGGTTCTTGATTTCTTGATTACAAATGTTTTCAGCCGGTGGTGATCTGATTGCCCTCTGAAGTCCACTATAGGGGCGGGTGATATTACGTACCACCCCTACAGAGTGGACTCTGTAGGGCGGCTGAAAACACCAGCCGC